TCCTTTGCAGAAAAGCTCCTTGAAATGTGATGTGCCTGCCTGCTCCAGCACATCTTTAAAAGGTGAAGGCCACTGCAATTTCAGGGCTAGACACCAGATAATTTCTTCTGACAGGGTTCTTGCCTACATTTATCCCTCGTGTCACATTTGTAAAGAGGGTGAGGAGCAGCAAATCCCCCTTTATCATCCTTCACAAATTGCAATATAATATAACAGCTGTAAGTCTCAAGTGGTCTAAACTCTCCCGGGTTTTATGAGCTGGGAGGACAGCGCTGAGGGATTTACACACTTTAGCAGGGATCATATTAAATGCTTCTTACCCGTGGTTGCTTTTTATACAGCAAACTTCATACTAGTTATTAAGACAAAAGTAGCATTAGCATTTTAATGGCCCCCATCTTGCCATTTCACGGTGGCTTCTGTTCCTCCTCCCTGCCAATCACCACATTACCTCCATTGCTCAAGTCTTGGGACCAAGCCTGAGTGCTTCCAGGGGATCGGGGCCTCTTGGGCAAGCAGGGTTTTCCTTCCCCAGTGTCCTCAAGATGACACTGCTGGCATCAAAATAACAGGCCCCTATTCTGGCACCCTCTAATTTAATCTGAAAACACCCTTTATGGGGGGAATCTGATAAAAAACTGTTACCAATGACCAGCGCTTTTTTAAAAAGAAAAAGAGGTACCAGTACTTACCATGAAGTTGTTACAGTACGTTTCCGAGCACAATTCAAAGTGTTGGTGCTGACCTTTAAAGCCCTAAACGGCCTCGGTCCAGTATACCTGAAGGAGCGTCTCCACCCCCATCGTTCTTCCCGGACACTGAGGTCCAGCACCGAGGGCCTTCTGGCGGTTCCCTCCCTGCGAGAAGTGAGGTTACAGGGAGCCAGGCAGAGGGCCTTCTTGGCATCGGCACCCGCCCTGTGGAACACCCTCCCACCAGATGTCAAAGAGAAAAACAACTACCAGACTTTTAGAAGACATCTGAAGGCAGCCCTGTTCAGGGAATCTTTTAATGTTTAATAGACTATTGTATTTTAATATTCTGTTGGAAGCCACCCAGAGTGGCTGGGGAAACCCAGCCAGATGGGCAGGGTATAAATAATAAATTATTATTATTATTATTATTATTATTAGTGCCCACATTTTACATTTGGGGGGAAAATTGCCAGTACTGTGTACCCTTGAGTACACCCAGAAAAAGAACGGCAAAGACCTGTTTGCAAATTCAGCCCCCTTCCCCCCCAGTTTGCACATTATGGCAAGCCATTGTTGACAGTTGGTCATGCTTTTCGAAGCTACCTTCCCTGCTCCTGCTCCCGGGCTCAGCATGACCTCTGAGCCAGGGGTCATGGCTTATTTTGCTCCAAACAAATCACCAACAGTAAGCCAAGAGCAAGCTTTGCCTACCAAATGTTGAGAGGGAAGCAAACCTCGGTCCTTGGTTCAGGTCAGGGGCGGTGCATCCCATTTTCCATTGCTGGCAGAGGCGGGAGGGCAGGTGGGGCGCCTATTATTAGTAGTAGTATTAGTAGTAGTATTTGAATTTATATACTGCCCTATACCCGGAGGTCTCAGGGCGGTTCACAGAAAAGACTGGGGGTACCCCTTCAGGGGCACCCCACCTACTAGCTTCATTGGTTCAGGGGTAACACTATTTCAAGGAGGAGCAAAGCGGGGCTTTTTTCAGCTGGAACCCACTGGGCCTCAGCTCTGGCGCCTCTCAGGTGGGGGCCATGGCCATTCTAAAAGCACAAGAGAGGCGTTCGTGGTGAGTTCTGGCACCTCTTTTTCTAGAGAAACAGCACTGGAGCAAAGCAGGCCCAAGTTGGAGCTCATGCAGGGTAAGCCATACTTCCAGTTCTGCTGCTCCTTCATGCAGTGATGGTTTAGTGATGCTCTTTGGTGTTTTTATTGCCATCTGTAGTTTATCTGTGTTTTAAAGGTCAGAATATCTGTACATTTATGTTTGCTGCTTCTTTCTTTCTCTTTGCGACTCCTTTGTAGAGGGGGAACTGGGGTACACATCTTTAAAATAAATAATAATAACAAATTGTCAGCTTTGTTGGTCGCAGCACTTCAGCTGAAAATAAATGACAGCACAAGGATGGAAGGTGATCAAACAGGAGCATAGCTGAGGCATTCAGAAAATGAGCCTTTAAGAGCGTTATTAGGATAAAGTGAAGCATTAGCTCCACTTTGCTGCTGTCAGGGCAAGTTAAATTTTAATTGCTTTCTTTAGATATGTTGTGATGTATTTTAATTACTGTTTTTAACCAGATTGTTTTTATTATTCTGTACTTCATAATTGATGTTTTGAAACATTGTAAGCCACCTTGAAGCCCAACATGGGAGAAAGACAGGTGATAAATATATTAAATAAAATAAATACATTCCCATCTAGTTCTGTTCCAGGTCAGCCAATGTGATGACCTCCAAATGCTTTGGCCTCAGCCAGCAAGGCCCTTCGCAGTGGATTAGGGGAGCTGGAAGAGCAACACCTGAAATAAAGAAAATAATAAAAGGCTCTGAAAATATTGGGCAGAGGTCCCTTCCTCATTGTTTCTGCTGCCTGGAATCCTTTTGCCCGAAGATGCTACGAGGGATTCTGCATATAAAGCATTAATTGAATTACAGACTCTCCCAGGGCTTTTTTCCAGCTGGAACTCAGTTCCAGCCCCTCTCAGGTGGGCAACGTTGCCATTCCAAGAGAACGAGGGAGGTGTTCATGGCGAGTTCTGGCACCTCTTTTTTCTAGAAAAATAGCACTGCTTTCTCCTAGAATCGTAGAGTTGGAAGAGACCACAAGGGCCATCGAGTCCAACCCCCTGCCAAGCAGGAAACACCATCAGAGCACTCCTGACATATGGTTGTCAAGCCTCTGCTTAAAGACCTCCAAAGAAGGAGACTCCACCACACTCCTTGGCAGCAAATTCCACTGTCGAACAGCTCTTACTGTCAGGAAGTTCTTCCTAATGTTTAGGTGGAATCTTCTTTCTTGTAGTTTGGATCCATTGCTCCGTGTCCGCTTCTCTGGAGCAGCAGAAAACAACCTTTCTCCCTCCTCTATGTGACATCCTTTTATATATTTGAACATGGCTATCATATCACCCCTTAACCTCCTCTTCTCCAGGCTAAACATGCCCAGCTCCCTTAGCCGTTCCTCATAAGGCATCGTTTCCAGGCCTTTGACCATTTTGGTTGCCCTCCTCTGGACACGTTCCAGTTTGTCAGTGTCCTTCTTGAACTGTGGTGCCCAGAACTGGACACAGTACTCCAGGTGAGGTCTGACCAGAGCAGAATACAGTGGCACTATTACTTCCCTTGATCTAGATGCTATACTCCTATTGATGCAGCCCAGAATTGCATTGGCTTTTTAGCTGCCGCGTCACACTGTTGGCTCATGTCAAGTTTGTGGTCAACCAAGACTCCTAGATCCTTTTCACATGTACTGCTCTCAAGCCAGGTGTCCCCCATCTTGTATTTGTGCCTCTCATTTTTTTGCCCAAGTGAATACTTTACATTTCTCCCTGTTAAAGTTCATCTTGTTTGTTTTGGCCCAGTTCTCTCATCTGTCAAGGTCGTTTTGAAGTGTGATCCTGTCCTCTGGGGTGTTAGCCACCCCTCCCAGTTTGGTGTCATCTGCAAATTTGATCAGGATGCCCTTGAGTCCATCATCCAAGTCGTTGATAAAGATGTTGAATAAGACCGGGCCCAAGACAGAACCCTGTGGCACCTCCTAAGAAGCATTGGTCCATCTCCTCTACAGGCAGCAGCTTTGTGGGATCTCAGGCAGGAATTCTGTTTCCACCACCTGCTACCTCTTCCTTTCAACTGGAAATGCCAACAGCTGGACCTGGGATGCTCCTGCATGCAAAGTACCTGCCTTGCCAATGAGCTTCAGCCATTCTCCTGTTGCATCGCCAGACTTTACAGAAACCAAATTTAGAATGCCAAAGACTATTGCATGCAGTGTGTCACTTTTTTTTAACTTCAGAAGGAGAAGGAAGCTGAGAAGTGCTCTAGGATCATTTCAAAAGCTCCAGACCTCCTTTTGAAACAAAATCTAATGTGTCATCTTGTGAAGAATCTCCACGGGCTGGAAGATTGCAGGCTGGAAGCTGAGCTGCTCCTCCACCCAGAAGAGAACCAAGATGACTTTCTGAGGCCAGAGAGAGACGCACGTAGGAAGGGCAGAGGAGGGTTTGGGGAGGGGGCAGTCCTACGAGGTGCATCCTTGTTCCTGCACCAACCCATGTGCCTTGCTCTGGTGTCAAAAGTGAGAACGAAGGACTGGGAAAGGGACAAAAAGAAGACTCTTTGATTCAGGATTACTTTTTCCAATACGCCGTACACAAAATTAGATGGCAGGATTATCTGATTAAAAGTTAGCTTCTTTACTGTTTCAAGGCTTTCCCTCCTTCACACAGGTGCAGGAACCAACCCACCCCTCCTCTCTTTCTCTCTTTTGTACTTTGAAATTGGGTTGAGGGGCTTTCTGACATACAAAAGCCAGTCAATCAATACCATGAGGAGCCTTGAACTGAGAAAAGGAAAGTTGTCTTGCAGAGCTGTTGTGCTGATAAAACTGGTGAGAGGGAAGGAGAGCAGGCATCGCCCTGAGCTGCTTAGAGGAGGGTGAGATAGTTCATTAATTTATTATTGATTGCATTTGTATCCCTCAAGGTGGCGCACATAGTTTTCCTCCTCCCCACAACAACCCTCTGAGGTAGGTGAGGCTGAGAGGCAGCAACTGACCCAAGGTCACCCAGGGAGCTGAATGGGGATTTGAATCTTGGTCTCCCAGGTCCTAATCTGACACTCTAACCACTACACCACCCTGGCTCCTCTGCAGTATGACTGGCGCAAGGTCCAGCTAGTCAGACAAATGGGAAAAAGGGTGTCACTGAGCCCAGTCCGCGCCATAAGAGTGCATATGTGTCACACAAGTATTGGGGGCTCTTCTGCAGCCTCTGAGTTACATCTGTCTCCAGTCTAAGCATCTGGAAGAAGATTCAGGACATGTTTTATTAATACATTATGAAGCCTTTAAACATGTTTAATTTTAAACAACACCGGCTGTAAAATTAAGAATGGCTTAGTATACTTGGAATTAAAGGAGACTCCTATGCCAAATCCCTTTCCCCAAAAAGTCACCCCAAAGCAAGAATGAAATTACTCTTCCCAGGAAAGCTATATAATAATTACCATTATTTGTGCTGCATGCAGACTTCAACCCCATCATTACAGAAATAGAAGGTGGTTTGGAGCTAAGCAGATGTTTATATGTTAAGGTGGCTGGAAGAAAATCACAGAACACAGACGTGTGACTGGTGTGAAGAACAAAAGATGGGGAATGACGGAGCTCAATTTGGTGTGTTTTGTGCTTTCTTGGTCATTTGTGCGTGTGCCAGAGCCATCGTCTTCTTTTCCTGCATGAGAGGATGTCAGAAATTATGATCTTTCTTATCAAACTGCAAGCCAGACAGCCAAAGACATGAATCCAAGCTGGGCTTGTCATTTTACTGCTGGAATGGTTGCATGTGCTCATGTGCTTGAGTGCTGGGGGCACCAGGGGGGAACCCCCAAGGGAACCCCCAGAGGAGGAAGGCTCCAAGCCAGGGGTTTGGTGAGGAGAGGTCAGAGGGAGACAACTGGGAGGAGGTGCTGAATACCAAAGGGACAACAGGGTTTAGTGAGCAGGAGGAACCCATGACAGGAGCAGTTCAGACTCTGATGCAGATATTAATGAATATAATATACAAAAATGCATTAAATGAAATTGAAATGTGTACAGTGGTGCCCCGCAAGACGAATGCCTCGCAAGACGAAAAACTCGCTAGACGAAAGGGTTTTCCGTTTTTGAGTCGTTCCACAAGACGAATTTCCCTATGGGCTTGCTTCGCAAGACGAAACGTCTTGCGAGTTCTTGCGAGTTTGTTTCCTTTTTCTTAAAGCCGTTAATAGCCGCTAAGCCGCTAAGCCGCTAAGCCGCTAATAGCCGTGCTTCGCAAGACGAAAAAAACCGCCAGACGAAGAGACTCACGGAACGGATTAATTTCGTCTTGCGAGGCACCACTGTATAGAAATGTGTGTATAGAAATGTGTGCACACTGATTAGTTCTACAGATTTTTTAAATCATAATCACAAACTGATCCAGAAATAAGGTAAACTTAACCTAAGAATGGAAATAATAAGAAATTAGGAGTAACCAAAATTGGCAAATTCACCCATCAAATCAAATGGAACCACCATTGCAGGGGGTTGGATGAAATAACCCTTGGGGACCCTTCTGATTCTACGATTCTATGAAAAACCAGAGAAGTGTGAATTTCAAAGTATAGCTGCCTTTCTGTTCATGTATTGTTCCAGTATGAAATGTGGACCGAACTGAATTCTCCCTCCCCATTAATCAAAAGCTGGACAGGCTTGTTCTAATCAGTTCAGAGGAGGTCACCTCCATGTTCTATACTCTAAAGATCAGGAACATTGAAAGAATTTCCTCAGAAATTTGACGTGGATTAAAATCTGGAGCCTTATTACATATACATGGAAGGCAGGGAGATCCTTTGAAATTGTGCTAGGAAGGCTGTTTTTGAAAGAACGAAAAGAAAATGTCTTCCCTTGAGAAGAGAAGTCTTGCTTCCAAAGGGTTCATGCAAGTCATACAGTATCGTTCTGCCGTCACTTGTGAAACACACTCACAAAATTCTCTAATAATTAAAGCAAAAGATGTAGTGTTGAAAATAAAATGTTATTTGGCCAACAGAGAATTGTCTCATATTAAGGGAAAGGAACTGCTGAGCAGAATTCAATGAGGCCCCACCAGAGGAACGATTGCCATTGCTGAATAGGTGTAGACTGTTTCTCAAAAATGGTTTCTCACACAAACTTCCCACTTCACCCAGACCCCAGGAAGACCTCTAAGAAAGAACCAAGATGCCCTATTGAGAATCCTGCTACAACTAAGGGCCTGGAAGAATGTGCAAGAAGGTGGCGTGTCTCATGAAGTCTTGACTTTAACCTCCCCCCAGCCCAATTCCTCTGACTGAGCCCTGATTCTCTCTTTGACAGCCAAGTGAGCAGTCTCTATTGCCAGGAGTCCACCCAGTGATGACCCAGCAGGGGCCTAGGAAGAGGAGGAGCTGGATGTGAGCTCTTCTGCCCAGCTCCCACATCCCCTAAGGCTCTTTCACTCAACTGCAGTGGCAGGTATTGCTCACAGACATTGTATTGTTTTTCTCTTGGATAAATGAAAATTAAACACACACACAAAATCAAGCTGTATGTGGCTACAGTCTGTGTTCAGCTTGGCAGCTTGCAGATTTTCCAGGTTTTGAGACACATGGTTTGCTGCTCACCACCGCCAAAGCCTTAGCCAAGATCTGGGCATTTATGTTGAGTTGAGTTAAATCGATGAAGCCATCCGCTGAGATCAAAACAGCCGGATTCCCCTATCGATCAAATGCGCTTAACTACTTACATAGGCTTTTTGCCATCTAAAAAAAGTAGTCAAGTACAAAGAATGGTTTAAAATTTATTGCTGTGCTAGTTGCTGAGAGAGGCCTTTAATTTAATCCATCAGGATAAGAAGCTAAAACATGGATGAAAAGTGGGTTTTCATTAGAAGTATTGTTATACTTGTGGTAGCCTCAGTTCAGCTTGGTCAATTTATCATGCAACTGCCTCAGTCAAAATTCATTGTTCTGCATTGTTAAAATAGGCAAAATTAATGCAAAACAAAACAAAAACTCCACTGTAACAAGATGCAGAGTGGAGGTAAATGAAGTAGTAACAAAAAGTTTGACCCCTTCTAGTGCAATTTCTATGCATGTTCATTATGTTCAATGGGACAGGGCCAGTTCTAGCCATTGTTCAATAGCACCATGTTCTTACACCCCTAATTTGCAATATGGGTGAGGAGAGAATTGTGGAGGTAACTCTGGTAAGGAAACCATAGAAGTTCTGAATTGCTGTCTTCCTGAAGACTCAATTTTACCACACGTTACAATTTATAAATGCTGTTTTAATCTTAAAGATTTAAAAATAAGCTCATACAGTCTACAGACTGTTCTATTTTCATTCACTCATCACACATTATGCTTCTACAATTCATTCAAGTCCTTTTGAATCAAATTTTAATTGCTGAAAATACTTTTATCAAAAATTGACCTGTGTATGTATATATGGATATCTGCATCTAATGCTTCTGTACATGTTTACATTTATGTGTGTATATTTCTTTCTGTACCTTTTCTTCTTGAAGAGAATATATTTTTATTATCAGGTTGAATCCAACACCTTATCTTACATAAAAACACATATTAAGAAATAACTCCATGGGAGATGATGCCTAAAAAACAATAACTTTGGAGGCAATTGGACAAGACTGAATTTGAAGAGACCAGAAAGACCATACCCTGAGTAGGTCACAGTTCAAGGGACGCTGCAAAAATGATTTTACACTACAAAACACTGCAAACAATTGTAAAACATTGGCACTGGAACTAGAATAGCAAGAAACAGCTTTTTGTTTTTGTTTTAATACTATAAAAAGGACTTTGAAAAAACAACTCTATATATGAAATTATTGACTTGCAAGTTCTGTTTCCAAAGTGGCAGAGTTATGTCTTGAACTCCTATGTCTGACTACTCTGAAGGCAATCCTGAAGGACTCTTTGGGGCATATTCTGTGTGCTTTAAAGTCAGTTAGTGGAGTACTGCAAAATGTGGGGTTTTCACTGCAAAATGCTGCAAAACTTTTGCACAGGTTTGGGGAGGATCCCAATTTTTGGGTTCATAGTTAATGGGGCCCATCATAATTATACACGATTAAGAGGTGATATGATTGATAGCTCTCTTCAAATATTCGAAGGGCTACCACATAGATGACGGAGCAAATTTGCTTTCTGTTGTTTCTGAGGGTAGGACCTGACCCAACAGGTTCAAATTACAAAAAATGGATTTAGAAAGCACATCCTGGCAGGAGACACTCTTCAATGGTGGGAGATATTCCCACAGCAGGTGGCAGACTCTCTTTCACAGCAGGTTTCCAAGCAATGCTGCCTCTCAGGGATGCTGTAACAGTTAGTGCGCTTCTTGCACTGGCAGGCGGCTGGACTAGATGAGGTCCCTTTCCAACTCTATTATTGCAGAACAGCCTTATTTTAAGTCTTATTTTATGTGATCCGGAAAAGCTGAAGCAGCACAAACAAGTCTCAGAGCACCCTCTTCAGTGCCAGAAGGGAATTACGGAAGTGCAGCACCAGAGCAGTGGCAGTAGCCCTTAGGAGGCTTCAGCAGTGGCCAAGTCATTCCCTCTCATGGCAGATCTGGGGTGTGGGGAGAGGTGTTGATGGAAGCTGAGCCAAACAGGCCTAGTGAGAAACAAGGGGAAGGTATCAGCAAGCTCAGGGAGACCTCAGGAGGTTGTTGTGATGTTTAAACTGGGCAAGGAGAGAGAACCATGTTCTGCAAAGACCACCTAAGGAGGCATCCCCCTGCCACCTCCACCAAATAGTCCAATGAGGACTGAGCATACTCAGCAGCCGCAGAATGATGAGTGTCCTCTGGAAAAGCAACATGGGAACTGGGAGCACAGAACAGCATATCCCAGGCAGGGCCGCCAGCCTGTGGCAGCTGAGCTGTTTTGGGCCCCCACAATATCCTTTGGGAGAGGGCTGGGGGCTCCCAATGTTGAGGGGCAGAGGAGGCTGAGGGCGGAGGTGAGGGTGGCATGACTTCAGTGGCTGGCGGCTCCTCCACCTGTCATGGAAAGAGGCCGAGCGCGAGAGAGGAGCTTCCGGCCATGGAAGCCGCACCGCGTTCAGCCTCCGCCTGACATCTCATGCGCGATGCCGGCCCCTTCAATCTTTGGCGTAAGTTGGCAGCTCTGATCCTGGAGGTGGGCATAGCTGGCTGGCTTCCTAGCACCCTGAGCAGGAGCAACATTTTGTAAAGCTTGGCAGCTTGGTAATAGTTCCTTTCTTGGTCAGTGGAACAGGATTTTGTCCCTGCTACACTTCCTGCTGCCGCTTCATCATTGCAACATCTCCTCCCAGCCGAGGCTTCTGCCTGTGGCCTGGTGCTAACCATGAGAAGCCACAGCTCTCCTGGGGATCCATGCAGCTCTACCTCATCTTTGCTTTGCTCCACCTGCTCGGCTGTGATTAGTCTGTTTCTTGGGGGTTTTTTATTTATGTCTCTGCCTTGGGTATTTATTTGTTTTGTTTTAAAGCCTATCTTTAGTTGTTTTGTGTCTTGCCTTTAAGCCTATGGACAGTGGCCAGCGATGATGAGAATCCAACAACATCTGGGGTGTGATCAAACTATGGACTCATTTTAAACCTCCTTGGCTGGCTGTAAATGGCTGGCTAAAGCAGAAACTGGGACTAGAAACATCACCGCAAAACAGTCAGGGTCCGGGCCAAA